ATACCTGTACCTTGTCCTCATGATCCTCCTCCTACAGGTACCCCTCCCCCTAACAAACATCCTAATCTGTCAATTGGAGTCCCCCTACATCCTTTACAAGTTTCCAGCATACTGTACATGTACATTTGCATGTGTCTAAACACTGTCTATACATATGCAAGTATGTTACAGGAGTGCTCAGTACATATGTGTATGTACTACAGGGTAAGTACATAATGAAACTCAAAACATTAACATTCAACTTTTATAATTTTTCCTTAAATTCATAAGTTTCCAAGTATTAATGTCATATAATACTATTTAAACACTGATGGAATTCCAAGAGGAAGCAAAAAGTACTCAATGGCAAATTTTAACACCTATGGACCTGCAAGGAAAACTTTAAGATTTGAGGATAGCTGAACGGAGGGACGCCCCGACGGACAGAAGACAGAAATCGGTATTACATAAGCTCGCATTTGCTCAGCATCTCGCCAATAAGCAATCTAGGTTTGCAGAGATTTTCTGTTATTCAAATCGACTTGTTTTGGTTAAAATCAGCTTTTTGGATAAAATGCTTGAATTAAGTGATTTAATGACCAAAGTGAACTTAAATGAGGTTTAACTATGCAAGTACATGATTTAAATCTCTCAATGTAAAATATAATTTGTTTATGTAACAAAAGAAATAACTATAACAGACTTTGCATACAAACAACTAGATGTGCTTCCTTTGGAAAAGATGATTATTCCCCATTGTCTGCTAGCTAAATAAAAGTATTACAAGCAGCAAGCAAGGACAATAACAATCAATTATAAAATTGTAAAAGTTCAATTAAAACCCCACAGCCCAGTTTGACTAAGCTGCTCTCATTTTCAAATAACAATAAAAATGGCCTTTTTTTAAAATGAGGGTTAAATGAAGAGGTTGATTAAAAAATGACATATTCAGTCCCCTAAATCATCTCTATATTCCATCAATCTTAAAATCTATCACCTCCTCAAAATAACGGGAGTCAAATGGAGAACAAGATTGTTTAGAGATCAATACGAGGGGGTTTTTCATTCTTACATTTTTGTTTATCAGTCACAGCATCAAAGAAGGCCTGGTGGACATCTCTGTTCTCAAGACAGACCGCGCCACCACCACGAAACATTTGTGTAGTCTGCCAACCGAAAATGAACAAGTATCAACAAGGCATCAAAAACAGAGCTTGTGATTTTGTTGGTGAGAGGGAACATATCCAAACAGCATTCACCTGTTTCAGGTCAATCAAATATAAAAGACACATTGATGGCAGTCTTACCTGACGATTGATGTCTCCAATGCAAATCCATTTCAGATCATGTTTGGTGGTCACTGCCCACTTAGAATGATCTTTGGTGTTCGTGAACTTGTATTTACCAATAAGAGTTACTTCTTTGACATTGTAGACTTTCAGGCCATTGACACAGGAAGAGGATAGGTTTTTTCCTCGACCTCTCTGCCATGTCTCACAGTACAGGCCACTCTTAAAATATGGAGCAAGCCAATCTTTATACAGATCTAAGAAAGAAATCAATAAATAAATACCAGGTACTCTGAAGTGGAGGCTGAATTAATTAAGCACGACTGAGAATAAGCTCGACAATGAATTAAACCGAAAGAGTAAAACACTTGTTATTAACTTGATGGTCCCTGCTAGCAATCATGCACTGGCCCTAGTCGGGGAAGTGTGCCTACAATCTTAAGGTATTCCAATGTTTAATGGGTATGTGTCTTTCACAACAAACTTCCTGAAATTCTAATTCCAAAATGAATTTGAAGTTTGGCTGTTCTTTCAGTTAAAATATGATACCCTGAAATTTGATTCCTCAGTGAATGCAGTATAGAATTCATTCCCTACTCCCCCCCAAAAAATCTAAACCCACCTTTCTTCCATTCGCCAGCTTTGTTGAAGCTGACAAACTTCTGCTCACTTTTGGACTGCAGATTCAATCGACGATTCCATGGAGGGGATGTTACATGGATGTTGTTCACCAAATGCTTGATGCTGGGGGTCTTGCCAACCAACTTAGAGGGGAGGTTGCTGTCATAGACTCCAGGATGGTTGTACTTCAACTGCTGACCTGGTGGAAATGAGTTTTAAATTCGTGACAAAGGTAAGATATTGCGAGTGAATAGGTGCCACAGCTTTGAGCTATGTTTTACAAATTGTCAACATGTGCCAACTTAATGGCAATGGCGATGTTTCAGAAACAGCAGAAACACTCTGAAAACTTTAAATCTCATGGTTTACAATTTAACTCACAGATACTTCAAACAATGGTAATATAAAGTATGGTAAAGTATGGTATGAGGAGTTAGTAATACAGTACTCTAGTCAACATCCCCCCCCCCCGATTTAATGAAAGTCCTCCTATTACATGTAAACTTTACCTATTTTTTCAAACTGGTCGTATTCGAAGGTAATACACAGCAATGTCTGGCCATAACGTTTGGCATTGTCTGGCCAATTGTAGCTTTTAGATGCGGGTAGAGGAAATTTAGGTACGCTGTGTACCAGCCAGAATCCACTGATGCCATCAAAGGCAAGGACACCTGTAAGAGTGGAAGGAAGACACCTGTCCATTAGGTAAGTCATATGATTCATGTGGGCATACAGGAGAGGAAATACAAGACTCTGATATTGTGCTGGTTGTACATATACTTGTGCATAGACAATTAATGCAGCTCTTATTCATGCAAGTATCAATTTTAAGTTTATGTGCCTATGTCATATGTCAGATGAAAAAGGGTCTTTCCTTTTTCAGGTGAATGGTTATGGTGTAGTACTTGATATTACCCCTATGATGAATTACATGAACTCACTGTGTATTGAGAACAACCAATATTCAGCCAAGTTAGCATCCAAATTCTTTACACACCACACATTTCAGACTGACCCCGCAAATTAAAATCTAGGTATTTTTGTTCCTCTCTTTTTCTTAAAATTTGTAAAAAAACCTGTGACTTTTCTGTAAAGGCACTAACCAAATTTCAAAATCTCTTAAAAGTGTATCATATGTGTATGAAATATTGGCCCAACTATGTCCTGACTGCTCTTAGATTGTGCATTGTGACCCTCCCCAAAAAAGAAAAAAAACAAACAAGCAAAACAAATTGAGCAATCAGCTACCATCCATTTTAAACATGAACAATCTAAAAATACGGACACCCACTAGGGGCATGTCCTGAGCTCCCTCCCTAATAGTTATGCCACTGAAGTAAAGTGCTGTGAATAAAGACCTTTAGTAACGAACACCTGTGAATATTACTGTCCGATCAATGGTTCAGAGCTGCAAGCATAGACTAGATCAGAAATATAAAGTAAAATATACCCTTCAAATGTATGAAAACTAAATAGAATATCATGATTAGATATACTTGAAAATTTGATGCAACTGCATACATACTTTTACAATTCTGAAGAAATCAGAATAATAATGAGGAAAAAGATCACTGTAACTAAAATCCTAAATGAACAGGTACACATCATACATTGCCTGAAGAAAACAGTCAAAGATAACTACAGAGCCAAAACATTGGGAGAAATTCTCACAAGTAATCCTTCAATCTTCTAATTAAGATTTGCAAGAATATTATAATGAACTGTACCCTTTGAGTGCCCAAAGCTCTGATTTGACTTTCCAGTAGGAGGTTGGTCATTGTACATCAAGTGAGCAATTTTCTGGAACAAATTTTTGAAGAAAATATCTGTTAAATCATAATACACCTTACACTTAAAGTTTACTGAGGTGATTGTAGAAGTAAACATCAAGATATTGTGAAGGTTTTGAGCACCAAAGTGAATACATAATGTGCATCATTATGTGTGTAAAAGGCATCAGTGGGGTGCATCTAGGCATTGCACCTTGCAGTGTTGGAACGTGGCTTCCAGAACTAACAAAGGTGTGTATATTTGAACCAAAACAGATAGGAGTCTATTCAATCTTGCTCGGCTTTGAGCTGCTTCGAAGACCAAATTGGTCTGCATGAGAGAGCTGATCTATGCAGACAACTCTGCAGTAGTAGCTACAAATCTGCAGGACATACAGGGATTTGCAACTTATTCGCTCAGTGAAGCTGCAGCTTGTTTTGGACTGTGAATAAATGCCACCAAAACTGAACTTCTCTACCAACCACCACCACAACAGCAACAGCTGGAACAACCTGTCGTAGAAGTGCATGGAGAGGCATTGAAGACTACTACTACTTTCATCTACCTAGGCAGCACTGTCACCAAAAAGAACTCATCTGATGATGAGATTGACCAGAGAATCTAGGCAGCCTGTAAGGCATTTGGGTCTTTCCAACAGCGTCTCTGATACGCGTCATGACATCAAACTCAGCACTATAAGATCAAGGTCTACAACACAGTAGTGTTGCTATTGCTTCTATACTACACTGATGCTATGATACTCTATCGCAGGCACATCAAGCAGCTGACCCGAATCCAGCTTCGCCACATGCGCCAGATTATGAACATCAAGTGGCAAGACAGAGTTGTGACTGTCCTGGAAGGGGCAGGGGCTGTGAGCGTGGAAGCCTTAATTATTGCCGCTCAGCTCCGATGGGCTGGTCATGTCTTTCGCATGTCTGATCACCAACTCCCTAAGCAAGTGCTTTTCAGTGATTTACTGCCTGGGAAATGGAAGCATGGTGGCCAGAAACTGCGCTATAAAGATGTTCTAAAATGCCATATGAAATGTGCTGAGATTGACACTGGCACCTGGGAACAGCAAGCCTCATCCAGATCAACATGGCGGGGTGTTTTACACGAGGTAACCAGTAGAATTGAGGAGAAGCAGGCCACTGAGTATATGTCAGCTCATGAGCGACATTTAAGTTCATTCCCTGTGTTAGTATCTCCACCTGTGGCAAATGCAAAACCGGCCATGTAGATCCAAAGCTGGTCTAGCAGCTCACCTGCAAGACCAACCCTACATAATAATTAAACCCTTTCACCTCTCTCTCCTATCTTGTTTCCATCAAAAACGATGGACTGCCGATTTAAAGGCATCAGTGTGAGAACCAGCGCATGAACCAACACACACACATTCGTCTGCACTACACTTCCTGGTTCAAAATGTCACACGTTGGTACTCCGTATAGAATTCTTTATCATGCCATAATTCTTTTCCGACAGTCCAATGTACAATCTGAAGGTACAATATGAGCAAGCTAGGTTAAATATTCAAATCAAGTGACTGGGTGAATTTGGGAAAACTCGACATGACATAATATTTTAGAGTACTTGGGATATTTTGCTTTTGTTTATTGTTTACCTCCGGTAGAAAATTACTGTAACAAGAGTTTAATAAGTGGTCAAGCAGAATGCTGCCCTCTGTTGACCTCATCACATCTCATTGCAGTACATGCATTATAGTGACATTGCATTGATGTCTTTCAGAGAGAGTCTACAGCATGGTGTAGAGCACGTACATGTAGACCTAGAACACGACATAGATTGAGTTGAAATCTGTCTCCGTTGTCTCTGTTTGAGTCAGTAGACCCACAACTATTACACTTACCACCAAAGCAATATGGAGATTTCTCTCAACTTTACATTTACAAGAAAAACAGCCCCAATGATAACACAGTATAGATTATGTCGACAATGTCCAGGAATATGGTTGACAAAAGACACCTTGCCCTGCAACAAACAGGATATGCGTGCATGGAGCATATACAACTGATATTGAACGTGCACCAAGTCACAGTGTGTTATTGATGATGCAATGAGGAAGTTACAATTACTCTTGTACAATGCTGCAGAGTTTCAAGTTGTTGAAACAGTCATCAAAGGGAGGAAACAATTAGAATACTTTCTAACTACCACATGACAACATGAAACTAAGATGCCTGGTAAACAAATGAAGGCACTTTTAGCAAATTTTTTTTTGTGATCTTGCCTGTTTCCCATGGTTCTGGTAGATCTGTTGCAGAGTGTATGCAATGGCATGGCCAGTGGCATTGAGCTGGGTATCAGAAAGTGTCAGGACTGGATTGTTGACATCCATGTACAACTGAGCATGGCCACTTTTCACCTGTTGTGTTTGGCTGTTTGAATCTTGGGGAAGCTTGTACACAACGAACCTGTATAACAGGATAAACATGTGACCATTCAAATACTCCAACATGTAAAAGATAACACAAATAAAGACAACTGCTGTCTTGTGGGTCAACTCCATGATGCTGTTAGGTTATTTGAAAAAGAAGAAAAGTAAATGAAGATGTTGAAGAAACGGGAGGTATGTCTCAAACTCTCAAATTGTGAGACAGAGAGAATAACACTTTTCAGAGTTGATGTTTGACATGAGACTTACCAATCAACTGGTTTCTCACTGCCATCTAAACATGTCACTGCTGCCTCACTGGTTCCCACTGTTATAGTAGTGAAGACAGTCACGGCCAGTAACATGAACATTATCATACTACTGGGAATCATGAACACTCTTGACTACATTCAATCAGGAGTAATCAAAACACAGTAATTTTCTGTTAAATTGAAAAACAAATTCTAATTTGTGCAAATAAGACCCTGTACATCATATTCATATAAAAGTTGAACAACGCATTTTGAAATACTAACAGAAAAAAGTTTACGCAACATTAAGTTTGACTTTGCTGATCTTTTGGTCCTTTTAAAATTGTGCAATAGAAGCCATCACCATTACAGTCATTTCATCATGACTTAATAATCAAAGGGAAAGAGGAAAAACAGAACCACCCTGAAAGTGACACACTCAAATGTCACAAGAATGGACTACAAATGCTACAAATATCTGATGTTCAAATTAAAATGACTAAAACTTCCTCAAAGTGTGATTCCAACCAAGCCCAGTCCCACAAAAACCAATCTAGGGTAAATTATTGGTGAAATACAGCTCTGAAGTCACTTCATGACACCCTATTAACAGTGAACTTTGTTTGTTTGTTCATATTTTGTTAAAAATATCAACCATGTGGTACACAAAGGCATCAGTGAGAACATGCATGTCCTACTGTAAGTATGGTCGACTGCATTATTTGTAGTTTGGAAATTTCTATGATGAATCTTCCATTTTTAATGCAACCAATCTGGTCTAAACAGAAGAACAGTCTGATGACTATCTTGCTAGTGACATAAAATATCTGATCCCTTGACATTAAAACATTGTTGTGCTAACATAATGAATTTTCTAACATTTACTCTTCTTAAAATATCAGGAAATGTGGTTTTTTTGACACATTTGGTTAGTTTGATGGATTTAGGAGGATATGTTAGTTGATTGACACTGATATAAACTGGTGATTTGAGATGATACCCTTTCTGGATGTTAGAGAATTTTAGTGATAGTTATATGATCAAGTGGTTATTAATTTTCCAGTATTTAATGTCTGTGGACAACATTTCAGTCAGAGCAGACATTTGGGACAGACCGTGTCATGAGACAAGCCTGGTCTGTGACAGTTGCTAAGGCTGGTGCTGAGGCGCATTGCACAGTTTTAAGTCTAGCCATGTCCAAGGTGTCGGTATAGTCTGGTGCCGTGCTGCACCACACCGCACCGCTCATTGA